GACTGACTTACCACTTTGGTGTGATACCACTGATTGCATTCTCTTTGTGTTTGGACAATAGAAGTATCATCGCAAACCTAGTGGTTTTCTGATTTCCGCCTTCTTGCGTCAGGACTATTAGTTTCTCGACCAGTCCATAACCATAATTTGTCGACGAGTACATAACAATTTTCCAGGTAAATTTCTGCATAGAGCTAGTCCCTAGTAAGCATAAGATTTAATATACGCGTAAAACTTGGGCACTTTGGTAGTATGTAATTCCATAGTGGTTTGTTTATTAGATATACCACACATACAGAGAAACAGTATTATGATTTACTGGGTCATAGTTCGAAAACAATTCACTATGGTTCATAGTCATATAATTTATAATCGTTAAATTTCAAAACTTTTGTTATAGCCTGCAGGGATTTGATTGGTTACAGGTTTCAACAGCTAGCTGACATCACTAACGATTGACTGTATGCAGGAGGTTACGTGGATTTCTAGTAAGAAGTCGTAACCAGTGGGATCCACCAAGTTAGGTAAGAAAAGAAAACAGTTACTCGCCTTGTAAATATCGTGAATTGGCGGAAGTGAGAATTCATTGGCCATTGAATTCTCTCCCATTTGTTGAGTGATCTACAAGCTTGCCTTGTAACTGTAAACTAGTATGGAACAGCTGTCTAGTGAATCCTTCTTAAATTCCCAGTAGTTCTGCAATAATAATTTGCTTTATTCCAGAAACAGTACTAATGGTACAGTGTGGAATTTACAGCACATATCTACAATATTGCATCTAATTTTATCAAACATTTAAAAGGAGTATTTCAAAAAAATAAATATAAAAAAACAACAACAAGACCAAAAAAACACAAAAATAACAAAAAAAAATGCAAAAAATACCAAGAAGTACAATGATAAATAATATTTCAGTATTTGATAGTGGGAGCTATGATAAGTGTATGCGTGGTGAACAGTAACAGCTATAATCATACAAGAAGTTATGAAATGTTCTTAAGAATGTTTATAGCCAAGATGATCAGTTAATTTGATTGAACTACACTAGACAATCATAAAATAAACATTTCAGGGTTTTCTATGGTATTTTATTCTAATGCGATGTTTATAGTGCTAGTGTGAGTAATCATGCATACTACACAAAATTTTAGGATGGTGATAACGGCGTTCACAACCAAGATTGTCAGTTAATATTGCCGAACAAAAAAGAAACAATCACAAAACTAATATTACATGATGGTTAATGACAGGACAATTTAGTAATTATCATAGTGATAATATAGTCGGAACCCAGTAGATATACAAAAGAAGGAATAGAATAAAGTACAAAAAAGTAAGCCAATGTTGATATTTCAGGTAACTTAGTATGTTTAAGAAGGTTGCTCACTATAGAATACAAATAAGAGAGTATAAAGGGGAAATAACAAGGGCCAAAATTATGTTATTAACAACAAAGGAAGTCATAGGTTTCGCGCTTAACGTTGTCTCTGTCACTTAGAACACGGGCTGGCCAAATATGGTATCGTTGAGTTCCTATACTTGATTGTACGAGCATATATTATTTTGTACTGATTTCTGGTTCTACCTGATGAGATGCAAGGAGAGAGTTGGGAATAGAGGGGGTGTTGGGGGTTGGAGAGTATGGTTTTAGACCATTTTTCGCATGTATTCAGATGCTTTCCCACTAATGTAGTGACGAGCTGACTGAGTTTTATACCACTAGTCCTACTAACTACCTTCAACATCCTTCTCAAGATGGTATAGTCCTTTTTCAGTAACCCAGGAAAGACTAATGGGGAGCAGTAAAGTAGAATAGGTAAGATACGAGAGTTGACAAATTGTGAAAGCAGGGAAGGTTGAGTGATTCCAGTTAGTCTGAGTTTCTTGATGTAGTAGGCTAGACGAAACACTTTCTCAGAAATCGTTAGGACATGAGATGACCAAGCTCGTCAACAAACCTGAATAAACCAATCGAATCCTTAGAAGTTAACTCTTAGTAAATAACGGATTAACTGGAATTACTGTAACATGTATGTGCTGGGGAAGGCTGACAGGACAACTGGTCTTCTTAGACGGGTGAGATTTCATGGTAGATTAAACTAGAGGATCAGAAATACACATTGATTTCAGGACACCATGACCAATGTTCACCGTTCTAAAACATTTTGATACTGGTACTTTCTATGAACAGAATTAATTTTGATGTAGTTGTTTTCTCTGAACTGGATGGTTTATTTGCGAAGCCTTCATTGCTCCACCACTAGACAACATCTTCAGTGCATACTTCAATTTGATAAAGTGGGCTCTCAGATTTCTCCATGAGTTTATTAGTCGTTTCTCCTAGTCGGTGACCTAGAACGTGGTGATTGGTTGTTTTTGTGTGCTTTCACACTACTTGTATTGGTATTGGCGTTGATTGTTCCTTTGACCTGAAGTTTCACCCTAATTTTCCTTAGCAAAATTAGAAACCTAAATTTATAGAACATCAACCCACACAGATCAAAGACTCAGTTACACACAAAAGGAGTTGTATACAAAGATTATGCAAGGGAGATAGGAATCATTGCAGCACTGATATCCTGAATAAAATTGAACAAAGATATATCATGGAGATCTTCCAAAACAATGGATATCCGCGAAACGTCATCAAAAGACATCTACTACACCCAAGCCAACCTACCAATTAAAAGGCTCCCAAGGAAAACACAAAAAAAATCGCCCTACCATGTACGAAAGACATCTCAGAAATCACTTCAGGACTATTCAAACCCTTACGAATTGATGTTGCACACAAACCAAGAAAACCACTTCACTCAGCTGTCTCTGTGTCAACCAAAAGACTCAACAGCGAAAGAAGATAAAACCAACATCATATACAAAATAAATTACAACGACTATGAAAAACACTACATTGGCCAAAGTGGACGTCCCCTTCGTATCTTCGTATCCATGATCATAAACTAACCCTTAAATTACATGACATCCACTCCCTTATATTACTGCATGCAGACAACCACGGACATCAATTCGGTAGGTAAAACGTTCAAATATCAGGCAGAGAAAACACCAGAGAATGCTAGAGAGAGAAACTTTTTAGAAGTCTGGTATTTTAGTGAATCGTGAATTAATAGAGACATTGTCATGAAAAAAATTTACCCATCGATAAGAAAGAAATCTCATACACACAAAGGGTCAGACTTCAGGTCAAGGAAACAATCATCACCAATACAAGTAGACTAGAGGGTGTGAAAGCACACAAAACAACCAATCATGACGTTCTTCTTGCATGACTTGCCTCACTCTGGTGAAATAAACTTTGTCAAGTATGCTGATGATTTAACGGTTTCAATGGCTGTTAACTCCCAGCTAGATTGTACCAAAATAAATAGCTTTCTGTTGGGAGTCAGTAAATGGTCTGAGTCTAACGGTCTTAAACTTAATCCTTCTAAGCGTCAAACTGTTGACTTCAGCTTAAGATGTAAAAGACAGTTAGAAGAAGTCATCGATTCTCATGACAGTTGTAAGATTGACGACAATGATATAGGAGTCAAATCAGAAATTAGGTATTTTGGACTCATTCTCTCTTCTGATCTCTCCTGGTCTTTCCATGTCTTAGGGATCTCCAGTAAAATATTCCGCCTGATATTTTACATTAAGAAGTTAAGGCACTCAGGTATAACTCAACCCCTCATCTTACAGTTCATAAACTCTTGCATCCTACCTATTCTTCTTTATTGTTCACCCCTGCTTATTCTTCCCTGGTTCGTTTGAAAAGGACTATGTCACAATTCGTAGAATACTGAAGACTGCCAGTAGAGTGAGTGGTGTCCCAGTGAACCACATAGTTAACGTCGTTGTCGATAGTCACTTGACTTCGTTCAATAAATTTGCTAGAGGGATTTTTTCTGGCTTGGAGCATCCACCACAGCACCCTCAGCTTTCACCTTGCATCACCTCAGGTAGAACAAGGAGTAACTTCAGAAAACTGTATGCTCGCACGTCTAAGTATAGAAATTCTATGATACCATACTTGTCACGTATTTTATGTGATGAAATTAGTGTCAGGCAAGAATTAACTGACCTTTTTTCATCTAGTAAATAAACAATTTCCTCCATCCATCCTTATATACCTTCAAGATTTACTTTTATTATTTCTGTTATATTTATGGTCCTGTTGATTCTTTGTTTTACTCTCATAATTGCAAGCACCAACTTATCTCTATGACTGCTGTAATCCTTGTTTTTCCCCTCACCATATCATGTAAAGAGAACATTTTATTCAATATTTTTAAACATGTTATGGTTTCTATACCACATCTACAATACTGAGTGAAACAAGCTCACGGTAATTTTCACTTGTATTATTATTATTACCTTAGCTGTTATCATTATTATTATTATTTCCATTTTATATGCTGCATGTTTTTGACATTACCCCTATCGAAAATGTGGAAAATTTTTCTGTGTGATTAAATTTTTTTATAATTTGAGGAAATTAGATGTAATATTGTGATTAATGCTGAAAATTCCATTCTGTATCACAAGTACTGTTTTTAGAATAAAGTAAATCATTATTATTATAATTATTATTATTCTAGGGGACCAGGAGAGATGATCAATAAACTCGTGGAGAAATCTAAAACCTCACTTCATCAAATTGAAGTATGAGCTGAAGATATTGCCTAGTGGTGGAGCAGTGAGAGCTTCGGAAATAAACACCAGCTAGCTAAGAGAACACTACCACATCAAAATCAACCAACTGAGCTACCAATCTTCTCCACCATGTTTTAAAAAATTAACACTGATTTGACTTTTGAAATCAGCAATAAATTCGTGAACGCAACTATTTCATACAATTTTTGTCATCACAAAATAAAATAAATCAGCTGATTGATGGTCAGATGACCTTGACCAACGCTGCGTTCTCATTGGTGTAAACCAACTGATGGATGTACACACCAACACATGTTTTGAATAAATGACTTTCATATACAACACAAATGCTTTGTTGAAGATAAATTTATTCTCCATGAAAAGGATGCTGAAAAGAACAAAATGGAAATCAAATTTATTGATGTTTATCCATCACTTATTTCCGCTTGTGATGAAAATACATGATGATAAATTATACTTTATCGATATCTATTTAAGCACAGAAGAGAAGTTGGTTCACTTAAGAGAGACTTCTATAGGACAATATACACATTTCTTCAGTTTCATGCCTATCCGATATCCATTGAGTTTGGTCAGAGGCCTCATGAATAGAGCAAGAAAGATCTCCATCAATGATTCCGTAGAATATGAATTAGGATACAAAACATGTAGTTCAGCGAGGAGTATCTTTTCGGCGAATTCATTCACTTAACTGCAGAATCCAAATTATGTGCGGTTATTTTTTGCATGTGTTTGCAAATTTGGTTCTTCCAAATGAATGGCTAAGGAAATGAAGGCGTATTGCCTTTGGTAGGTTATTCTTCACTTTGTAGATTACTCTGAATTAGGCGTTTGTTGATATGGAATGGTCAGTGTTGACAAGATGTTCGATTATCGCACTCCTTGTAGTGCAACTACAAGTTTCATTTTGATCACTCATTACATTTTTTGAAACATTTCTATGAAGTAAACGATAACCTTAGCTAATTTTTTTTCTTCTGTGACACACCTTATTATTATTATTATTATTATTAGTGTTTCCTTTAGTTCCTAGATGAACATAGGGCTTCAGCAACATTTTTTTTTGATTTACAGCTTGATTCCACACTGTATTATTGGTACAAGTATGAGATTTTCAGCATGGATATCGGTAGCCCAAATTTTGCAGTCCGACCATAGATATCAGGTGTGCGTCGGCGTGGGCTCGAACCCCGGACCATGTGCATGGTCGGCGAGAGTCCTAACCACTGTGCCACCGACACACATGTCTCCATTGAGCTCGGTTCTCTGTTCCACGTCTGCCCACATGCTTTCATCTCCTCTTCACATCACCTCCTCCATGCCACCCTCGCACTGACGAACAACTCACCGCATTTCATTCGGGTTCCACTAGAGCGGCGGCCTGGCAAGTGATGGATGTCACTTGATGGTTTGTTTTCTCAGAGTATGGCCAATCCACCTCCATTTCTTCTGCTTATTTGTTGCACAGTCGGTTCCTGCTGGGTTGGTTAGCTCATCGCCAAGGATCCCTCCCTGTTTCTGATCTTTTCTGGCTAGCCATCTGATCTTGAGTAGTTCTCAGCGAAAACAACTGTTGATGACAGTTTGTATTTCGTTAAAAGCACCCTTCGTGACGCGCTGGTCAAGTGTGTGATCCGTATTGTAAGAAGCGCCGACTTCACATTGGAGTTGGAAATCTGGATCTTATTTTCATTTTCATGCTGAGTTCTGGTGACCTCCACACAGACTTCAGAGAAATGAAAGCTTGCCTCACTCTCACGATCCTCTCCTTGGTATCCTCTTCAGTTTCTTCCGCCTGAATTTGAAACGATGCTTCCCAGGTAGGTAGGTAGGTGAAGGAGGTGGCTTCTTTCAGATCTCTCCCATTTATGCTGGCTGATTGTTATCTGTTGTTGTTATCGCTGTCACTGTTGGCCAGGAATCTTCATCACCTACCTCTGTTTTGTCTATCCTCTGTGGATGCTTCATCTACCACCAACTTGTTACTTTTCACTTGCAAATCTTCCATTTTGTGAGAAATCAGAAACATATATCATTGGCAAAGTCCAGATCCTCCAAGTTTTTTGTGTGTGTCCATTTCATGCCTGTCTCCTCGTTGCCCGCCACTGCCTGTCGCACAATCCACTCTACCGCAATCAGGAAAATCATTGGAGATAGTAGACAGCCAACTTGTCTTACTCCCGTCTTCACTTCGAAGGATTCCGTGAGTTCCTCGCTGTGGATTACTTGGCATGTAGCATAGTCGTACAACTGTAGGATGAGATGTATATTTGTTGGCGGCAACCAGTAGTAGCGCAGTCATTCGTTGCCAAATCACCTCTCGATCGACGTTGTCGAAGGCCTTTCAAAATTCAATCAGCTAATTAATTAATTATGACGATTGTCTATCCAAGTGAATGAATTCGCCGTAAAAAGACTCCTCGCTAAATTACGTGTTTTGTTTTGTTTAATATCGGGATGGGGATTATTCATAAATTACGATAGATCTAAAATGAGCTGATTTAAACGGGTTGTCCTAGTACATTTGTAAGCAGAAACACTAGTACTGTGTACGAAAAAGAGAAACCAACCACAGTCAAGACAAAACAGTTGTTTCTAAAACTGAAATCCATTGAGGATGTGCCTAATGAAGTCATACATCCAAAATTATCTACAGCTGCTGCCCTCGTTTGTTTGTCATTTTCCAGCTGACCAATTTTGATAGCCCAAAAGCATTCACAAGTTTAGCTGCTCCTGTGGAGAAAGCTACATAGGGCGGACAACTAGATAGCTCAACAAACGCATCATTACTGAGCATCTTCCTTCGTGGTTTGGGAAAGGCCAATTAGAATCTATGAGAAGCTTTATTTCTGCTTCATTTGATTGATAGTAGTCACCAAGTGGACAAAAAAAAGAGCCAGCAACATCATCGATAGCATTCCATTGAACTTTTCGTTCAGAATTCGAACCCGGCTTTTATGCATAGCTGAAGCTATGGGATTTCAAGAGAACAATCCTAATCAATGCATACAAAAGGGGGGTTGGTCCTACCTCTGTCTGTCCCTTCGGCTAGGTAAATCTAATTAAAACTTCCTACCCCTTCTTATCCTTCATTTCTTAAGTACTTTTATGGTTTTTATTTAAACTCTGATTGTTTATTTACTTCATCTTTAGTATTGCGCAACTTTTAATTTTATATGATTTTCATCTGATTTAATCATTGAAATGTTTACAATGTCATACGGTGGTGACAGTTGTCTGCAAGACAAAATTGTAGACAACAATTTACGTCAATGTTACGTCCCGAATTGCGATCATGAGAAAAAACAATAACAAAGCTTAACCTTGAGGAACTCAACAACCAATCAGAGAGGAGTTAAAGTGTGGCTTAACTTTCTGAGTAACGGTCACAAAGAGATGACAGAATAACCTTCGTCAAGAAAACAACCAGTCAGAAGAGGTTGCTTCTCCGTTAATAGTAACGCTAATAATAATGTACATAAAAATCTATAAATATCTGTTGATTTTCTCGATAAACGATCTGTTGCCTATCCCTTGCCCTTCTGTCGTTACAATACTGTCTTCCTTATCCACATCGCCAGTTGCATTAGCCGCTTGTACTTTTATCATTATTACAATCATCATTATTACTGACAAATTCACAACCTTTAGAACTTGTCTAAAAGAAACTGTTCTTGAAAACAACCATTTCAGTAATATAGAACATGGAAATCACAGCTGTGGAAATTACTTCACATTGTTGAAGTCACATGAATTAACCGGAGGAATTCTAGATTATCGTATTGTCAAGGAGTTGTCGGCTTGATTCACTTGCCTTCCTGGTGAGTAATGGTGTTTCCACTGAGATTCAGTCTCGGCAACCATTATTTCAAACTCCAAGGTGTCATCGTACTATGCCCGTTGGCTACAAATTCCTTTTAACGAAGATGTAACTCACTGGCTGAAGCTAATAATTTTAGTGTTTTTAATCTCACTCCACGGATTTCAGTGTAGGAGGCAACTGGATAGTATTGTCAGTTCTGACACCTGGCAAAGTTAAAATTCAAGCACCAGTAACTATCAGTCACCAGATGGCCTTGAACGCACCAATCACAAATATATATGAGGCCACAAGACAGTGGATAACGCTTTGACATTTGAATCTATGGGCCTGGGTGAGAATTCCATCATTCACTGGGGAATGCAGATACACCCATTTGACGAGTCACAAGTGAGTCGAAATGCGCATCCTAGATTCCACTGCTAGTCACCATCAATCAACTGATTTCAAGTTATATGACTGGACATCATCGTCGAGGCATCTTCACAAGAAGCCGACATGTCAACCAGAGACGAAGCATTTCGGTCCAATCAGTTGACGGGGAAATTTAAAATGAATAAAATAAAATGTATACAAATGCTACACAGGATACCTTTCTCTTATGTGTGACAAAAATAACTCCCATTTTCCCACAAGAGTATCATTAGGGATGTTCAACCACACTTTACGCATGTGCTTATCTAAATTGCTGTAAATAACCTTTTGAGCTATGGTAATTCCTGTGTTTCTGTTCTCCAATCTTCCACAAAATCCCTCATTACAAGTGGTGTGAGTCCCTGCAATCGCACCTAAAAAATTAATAATGTGGTTTACTCTGTAGAGATTAAATCCCAAGGATGACACTGAGTTATATCCTTTCCACTATAGATCTGGGTTGATGACAAAAGGGACCTATCAAAAAGTGTTTTGAAGATGTAGTATAACCATCGGCTTACATCCCTTCACACTAACTCGTCTCAGACAAATTTCGCGACAGTGAACGTGTCCACCAACTGATTTACCGAAGCTTTTTATGCCCATAATACATCCATACAAACAAATTATTTCCTTTCCAGTAAATCCCACATACAAGCAATACTGGAAAACTTGGTCTAAACCAGATTTCATTAGAGTAGACATTTCACTGAAATCAAATCACTGTGCGTCGGTGGCACAGTGGTTAGGACTCTCGACGACCATGCACATGGTCCGGGGTTCGAGCCCACGCCGACGCACACCTGATATCTATGGTTGGCCTGCGCATTTTGGGCTACCGATATCCACGCTGAAAATTCTACACTTTTACCAAAAATACAGTGTGAAATCAAGCAGAATGAAAGTTTGAACTCAGGCGGAGACACTCATTAATCCATTCAAGGTCATTAGTGCAGTTGCATTCCATTGGTAATTACTGATGCTCAGAGTGTAACTTAGCCTGACACCTTAAGCATGACTCATAGCTCAACGTCAGGCAACTGAACTTAAGCTTATTAGCTGTATAATGGCAAAGTTCAACAACAACGTCCGAAGAGATGTGGACGCACGGGTGACCTTTAGCCGACCAATAAAAAAAGAGGGAATTTTGTACGAAATTTTACGTATATTTGCAAAAAAAGCATGAAAAACATTTAAAAGGCTATTTTTCTTTGATATGAGTTAAACATATTTGCCAATTATAATGAGAGGTGTCAGTTTTTAAATTAAACCAATTTCTATACATGTATTCATCCAGGTGATTAAAAATAACTTGGTTTTGAGAGCCATTTATTGCTCTTATCCTATTTTTTTAATCTCATAAATTCCTAATACCTAAAGGTTGTTAGCTCCAGCATGACCACGATAGCATTTTTTATTTATCAGCACTGTTTTGTAGATGTAAACTATAACACCGACTCTTTCCAACACTTGTGTAATATTATTCACTTTTCCATGAGGCTAAATCTTGACAAAACTGAAACCGCTGTACAGTTGACGTCACTCCGGAATTCAAAGTCCATTAATGGCAAAGAAACAGTATATTTGTCAAAGAAAGTATCGATTTTGCAAAGAAAGTTCCCAGAAAAAAATAAAT